TTAATAATCTACATTAAACTTATATGATATCGTAATGATATATGAATTCATCTATTTTCCAAATTTTATAATAGTGCGAATTGCTAAACCATATTCACTACAATCGTTCATTGAAGACCAGAAAAAGAGGCGACAGTAATATTTTATACAAGCTATCAACTTGTTATTAACCTTCTAAAACTGTAATAATTTATTTTGCTTATTTAATTCTCTTTTTTATCAAGATATATTGATCCAATGAACGACACACAAAAGATTACTTTGTTGAGAGCACTTGGTTACCAGTACGTATTTTTATTTTATTAAATTTTATTATTATTTTTAAAACAATGTTCATTTTTATATGTTTAATCTCTCATTCTTATTTTACTTTAGGGTTTTATCTGACATTGTATGTTTATTTTCTTAATTGAGTTTTTCTCCTATCTATCAACCTATAACTGTTAATTCTATTCGCTTGGATCTCATGCATACCAATTTACAAATAAATATATTTGACAGAATCAAGTTTCAGTTGTAATGCCTACTGCTCTTGGTAATTAATTTTTATTGCGATTGTATCGAATGTTCATGGTTATTCTTTATTTATAATGCATAACATTGTGTCGTATAACCATCTTTCGCGCGAAGTTGGAACTGTAATACTTACACTCCGCGGCAGAGTGAGTTTTAATTACTTTGATATTATTCATATCAAAATCATGTGAAAATGATAAATGTTCGTTCATTTAAATGACAACTGCAGGGTGTTGGAAGGAATGAATTAATAAGACGTGTAGATTGGTTAAAAGCCGCAATTTTGGCCAAAGGAGGGCGTGTTAAAGAATTTGGCGGTATGAGTACTGCAGAGATTGTCGATCGGTGAGTTATATTGCTGTCAATCCTGAACTTAAAAATCCTGATATAATTGATGAGACTATCATCTTGTTCGTTATAGTGCAGTGGCTGTGTTAAAAGATTTGATCAAGGAGAGGAAAGATTTATTGGAACCTGTATTTTATGCGGAGAAAAGATTCGAATTAAGCTTTTACCGTAACCAGGTAAGTCTCGATATAGATTATATGCTTATAAAAGCTGGTCTTTTGGCTAAGCAGTTTTGTTGTTTAATTTTAGGTTATGCACTTGTTTGTCTCTGAAGGTATTTTATTTTATGATTATTTTTATTTTTATATTCAACATTTATTTTTAGCTATTTTCCAATGTGAATTATGTTTTGGCCAGCTATAATATCGGTAGCAATGTACACTAAAATAAAGCAAGGCGGTGCCAAGCCAAAACAACGTTTAGATATTGAAACTCTTTTAACAGAAGTAGAGTTTCTTTCTCAGTTACTCAAGGGAGAATTTGTGTATAGACCTGGTGAAATTAAGAATAATATATATAAAACCTTAATAGGATTGAAGGTATATTTAAACTATCATAACTCTTGGGTTAATGAAATAATGAATATTAATTACAACTTAACTAGTAGAATGATAATGTGCTTAATTATTGTGATAAATATGTGGAATTATCTGATGCCGAAAGAGCTATTGGAAGAGAAAATTATGGTAATAACATTTATTTCATTCACTTGATTTCATTTGAGTATATCTGTCATTATCGTTAAACGTATATTTAACTTACGAATATAGATTTTTACTGCTTCTTAATATGGCCTTTTATCGAAACATATTGGCTTGCTGGTAAGTGGAACATTGTTACTGTGTTCCAGACTATTACCTTCGCATATCTAATTCATACCAAAAATAGCCGTAAGTCTGTTTTCTATGACTCCCACTAATTCACACCGTCGACTGACGACACCGATTGTAAATAAAAACACAAATAACAAACCTGTTCCTATCACATGGTTTAGTGAGAGGGATTTTCAAAATAAATGCCAACTCTTCGGTAAAACTCTGTATTATCAAGGAGATCTTTCTTATTTTGAGGCAGTGAACAAGGAAACGTTAAAGAATGCATTTATTTACCTGGAAGATGCTGGTGTCATCATGGTAAAGCGAAGCCGAAATGTTAAAATACAGCCCACTATTGCTTTAGCACCTGATTTTGTACCAACAAGGAACTTTGATGGAGTCATAGAAGCTAAAGGAGAACTGTGGAATTTAGTTGAAAAAATTGGAAAATTTCGAAGGGAAGGAAAAAATCGTAGAGATAATGCTACAGTTAGTTCAAGAGTGTTGAAGTTAGCAGAGATGGTAGGCACTCCAACTACAGCTGATGTAGATGTGATAACAAATTTAACAAGTAGGCCCTCAAAGATAGGGAAACTAGAAGCAAAACTTTAATTGTTTTTAAAGTTTGAAAAGTCATTATTACCACATTTTCATGATGAACTTTGAGACCTTGTTTATTACACAAGACTATAGGTTCGAAGAATTGTTTAAAACTTTAGTCAAATTTATTTAATATTACGTTAGTAAATATATATTATTTTGTGTAAAAAAAATTTTAATGGCGATCTCGACAATTTAAGATATTAATTGATAGTATTGTAATAACGATAATGATATTCCAATGATTATTGATGATTATACCTTATTTAGGGGGATGGCTAAAGCCATGTCCCACGTGATTTTGACGTTTTAATCGTTTAAATTAAAATTAAGGTTAGGATTAGTGTTAGCTTGGTGTTGATATAAGAAAAGAAGTATAGGTAAAATTGCCTTCCCGACATTTTTAATTAGTGCCCCAAGATAGGTTAAGACTGTCGTTTTTCGTCTTTTTGCGGTTTCTTTATTTTTTGACTTCTTCGGGCTGATCCGTGTAAACAAAATTTCGCAATTCCGGTTGGTTGATTTACATAAAAAAGTCACGTGGGTATATGGCTTTAGACGACCCCAATTAATTGATTTGCAAATTTGTGTAACGTGCAAATCAAAACAATTTCCATAGAACGAAAAGTTAGACGTTGCCTAAGGTTAGGGTAAGGGTGGATTTGGATAGGGGTGGAGAATAGCTTATACCAAAATTTCACGAGGAATTTTTTTTGTTAGAAGCCAAATGGTGGTTTCATAATCAAAATTTTGAGATATAGGCTGGCTTTTCTATCTACCCGTGTACAAAACACCCGTGTACAATTAGAAATTGCCTAATTAATATTATTGAATTAACTTTAGGGTTAAGTCATTTTAGATTAGGGTTAAGTTAGAGTTTAGATAGTTATATATGCAAAATTGCCTTCCCAAGGTAGGTTTAGACTGCTGCTTTTGGTTTTTCTTTTCTTGTATCTCTTCGCCGGCGATCATCAAAATTCTATAATTTGATTGGTCAATAGTCACATGATTTATCTCCGCTTTAGATCGGGGGATAACTACCGACACAGCGGCTGTGTCGTTAAGGTTAGTACTGGTCATTAGCTGTATCGGTAGTTATCCCCTTCAGATCTTCCCCAGTATCGCCATCAAAATTCATCCCCACGTGACCAACGAAAAAATTCTTTAAATTCGTTTAGGGTTTAGTAAGTCCTTATATTAGGATTTGGGTTTATGCTATAATATAGTAAAATAGTTCAAGGTAGAGATTATACCCGGATCGGGTTAACCGAGTAATGATTAGATCTACCCGGGTAATAACCAGGTATATTTACTTCGAGTAATACCCGGAAGCATAGAGGCTTTCATTGTGATCGGCCAATTTTTGTAGGTCATCCCGTGATATCGTAAAAATTTCGTTGGTTAATCGAAAATTTAAAACTTTAACTAAATCATTACGAATAAAAAAAAACTAATATGTATAAAAATAACTATATCATGATTAAATTAAGTCTTTATCATGAAATCTCGATAACCTTAAGCCTAAAACTATAATTTTGCCTTAGACAAAATTTCGACAAACAAAGAAAAAAACCTAACGAACTACGAATCAAAAAGAAAATACAAAACATAAATGTTTTAATCCTATTCTAGAACACTGACAACTAATAAAAAAATTTAAGAGACAATTTTTAGTGCTTCATAATGTCAAACTGATAATTTTATTTAATAATCGTTATATGATTATAGTGTTACTTAGCTTTAACTCTTCTATATAATTTACAAACTTTATAATGCACAATTTCATACTGTATTATTAGCCTATATTTAAGAAATATGCGATTTTTGACAAAAGTGACATTTGTTTTAAATTTTTCTGATCATGTTATATTATACTAAAATGTGATCAGAGACACGGAATTTATGCGATAAGAATTTGTAAATTATGCGTGCGGTATATATGAATAATGATGTTTACGAAGCAATTTTATCTCGTAAAAAAAAAACTTGCAATTTTTTAAATAATTATTTATTGCTAAAGAATCACTTTTTAATAAAAATTTGTTAAAATTTCGACCAATGGTCGAGTTGTATAACGAAGATCATTGAGAAATGGACGAACAAGCGAAGATAGACAATATCACGTGTGTTGGCCTGTTTTATTATTGTCTGGCCCAAGTTATATAGTATAATGTAATTACATAGTTAACAAATTTTTTTTTTTTTTGTATATAAGCTAGTTACTAATCAGCCTTCTATCTCTAGGCCGTTTTAAGTAAAGTCACAAATTAATTAGGGTGTGGTATGAAACTACTATGCAATAATGTATCATATTCGGGTAGGTATAGCGAGATATTGTCTATCTTTGCTTGTTCGTCCATTTCTCAATGATCTTCGTTATACAACTCGACCATTGGTCGAAATGAACTTCACAAGCTACAATAGACAATATCACATGTGACCTGTGGAGTATTAATTATGTTTGGTTGCTTGGTCAAGTATTTTATTAGATATATGCTTTTGTTCCATAGATCTTCTTATTCCTTCTGATAGAACCTTCGGTAGATCTTGTTAGATGACCAATTACCTAATGTGAGTATGGTATTGGCATCGGCACCTAATTCTTGTGCTAAATAGGTTGCAATTGCTCTAATATCCTTGGTTTTGGCATTTGGGTCTGCAACTATAAGTATGTTCTTGATCCAACCTGATATGGTATCTATAGCCACCGGTGAGTTGGTTCAAGAAAATACATGTTTAAGAAATAGAAATCAAGAACTTGAAAGAGATAATAATCAGATTCGTGCAACAAATGAAAATTTGACGCGATTAAATGACGTGTTAAAAATTGTTTTGAGAGACACTGAAGATCAGAGAGACCATTTTAAAGCATTGAATATTGAAGAATTTGATAATTTTATTTCGAATTATATTTTTAGCTTATTCAACAATATCGGAACATTATTTCAATTTGATAATCAATACACGACAAATATTGTGAATTTGTTGAGATTTTATAATTTTTTCCAGATTCCAATTGTTTTTCACTATGTCAAAATACTTTATAGAAAGTTTTTGTGGCCCGTCTTCGTGGTTCATACGTGAATCTCACTGAAATGAAATGAATTCGTGTTATTGAAATATTGTTTGTAAATATTATTACGCTTTATTTCGGGCTTTATTTACTTTTTTTTGCGTTTGCAAAGTTTAACAGAGAGTGTATTATGTTTATTATTTAAATAACAATTATAATTTATTAACTATATTAAAATTTAAAAGCAATAAACTAATATAAATATAACTAAAAAATTATTAGGTATCCATTTTGTTGCCAGTTTTTTTGTCATGAGCTAGTTTAAAATCTATTGCCGCTTGTTTCGCTTGTTCACTAGTTCTATTCTTTGTAATATAAAAATATTTTGTTCTAGCCTTATTATTCTCATACCATCAAAACATCCAACAATTTTGAGATTTAATAAAAAATATTCCATTATAGTCTGAGGTATTATTTCTTTGTAAACTACAATTCAATGCATTTTCTCTTGGAGTTGTTTCTCGTAAATTGATAATACGATTATCTAATCCACATCGATTCACATGGTCAACCATCTTCCATTTTGGTCGAATCAAACGATGAAGTTGTAAATATTTTCGATTATTTTTTGTCCAAATATAATATGTATTTCTGTGTTTCCAATAATACCACGTATAATTTTGTAGGAAATGAAAATTCTCCTTATCGAGAAGAAAAGTGATTCCTTGGGTTTGAGTTTTTACTTCTAAATAGATAGTGAAATTAATTTTCACGAGACGATATTCGTTCAATTTGAGTCTTGGTTTTTCGGAATTCTCATATTTTTCCCAATCAGTTAAGATTTCAAAGTCTTTAAATTTTTCTTGCCAGTTCGACATTTCTTGTTGATAAAAATAATAAACCTGAAGAACGAAAAGCGCAGAGCATCATCCAAGATTAAGAATAAAGAGGTAAAGTAAGAGTTAGTATAACAAGCGAAATTAAATTTCAAACATATACACGAGTTGGGATCCTCCTCTTACTTGTTAAATTAGTTAAGTATAAAGTTAATTTTGTGTTTGGTTGAATCTTGTGGTTTTGCTTTGGTGTTTGTAATGTCTTTAAATTTTGCTTCGTAATATTTTTTGTATTGTATCGCACGGTTCAGAACTGATTTGTCTTCACGATCTCCAGGAAATCGACGTCTGTGAAGCTTTTTGTTTTTATATTT